AAAAATAATTAAAAATTTTTTCTCATAAGAGAATATATAATGCAAGAATAAGAAACTGGTATCACTAAGGTGATAAATTCAATTAAAAATTAATGGACATATTCTAGATAAAAATTTTGTATAATTATTTTTATTCCATTATATTTTTTAAAAAAATGCTTCATTATGTGGTGTACGGATTCGTCATTTTTTATTCTTTTTTTTTTTTGCCTCAACTTCTCGTTACTCTCGAACTGGCCTTGCTATTTCTGAGTCCCTCTATTAAGTCGGGGGAATTAAATTACTGAAATTACACCCCAGGGCTGTGAGTGCCAGGTGGAAAATCTGCGAGGCGGCCCGCCAACCCTAGATTTCTACTGCACTACGACGAGATTAAGATTCTCTTATACCTTACATAACATAACCCCTTAAAACCCAACTATACTTACGCGCGCTCTGCCACGGGATATTAGCCAGCAAAATTTCTTCGGATATGAAATTCCCAATGTGTGTATATAATTGCTCAGTTAATTATCAATCAAATGGAATGTCAGATTCATTTAATTTTCATTTTCATATTTTTTGTAGTTAATTTTCAAAATTAATATTTCTTTTAATTTAGTAAAAATTAAATTTTATGTATAAAAAAAATTAATATAAAAAAAAATCAAAACAGCAAAAATGTAAAAAGAAAAAATAATAGAAAAAATAAAAATACCAAATTATTAATTAGAATGCTTTTAATCTAATCTACGCCCAAAGAAATGTTTTACTTGAAGTTGAACCAAATATCCCAACCAAAAATTTCGGTATTATACCAGAGTTGACTACTGGCGCAGTACTGGTTCAGTATTGGCTGCCCAGGCTGGGCAGTCTGTACTGAACCAGTACTGGTATTTTCATTGTATCAGTACTGGTGCAGTACCACCCTCCCAGTACTGGCAAACCAGTACTGAGCCGATATTGAGCCAGTACTGGCTCAAATATATTTTCTTTTTGATTAATACTACAGTTTACAAAAAGTTCTAGAGTGGACCTGATATTTATATTTGATACAATAATTAATAAATGAAAGTGAATAATAAAAGTAATAAAATAATAAGTTTTTAAATTGGTAATTATAATTATATACATTATAATTATTTTATAAACATTTTTATTTTTACTGAACTGTTTTTTTATATTAAAAAACTTTCGTTTTATAATAAACATATTTTTATATTTATTTTTTAAATTAATAATTTGCAATATATATTATAATAAAGAATAAAAATTCTTGGTGTTTTCGATTTTACATAATAAAATATTAATTAGTTAGTTCACTAATTTAATTAATATTTAATAAAAAAGATATAAAATGTTAGAAAAAAATATTAATTTTTTTCCAATTTTGTATTTCTCGCGGAAAGTAATGAATGGCGTCGAGTAGAAATAACCAATCAAAATGCGATATATACTTGGAACTGGACCGGTTCGAGTCTCTGTTCCGACTTCCGATTGTGGTAGCCATTTTGGCACAGAGTTGTGTTGATTCTCGAAATCTCGTTGAATATTTTTCGCGAAGTGTTTTTTCAACAAAAAATTTACACTTTGAAGTGTTTTAAGGGATTTAAAGTTATTTATATGCAGTACCTGAAACTCTGAAAGTGAGCGTCACTATATATATAGTTCTAAAGTTACTGTAGAATATTAAAGTAGTTTATATTTTGCATGATGTTTTCTTTCGTAGGAACATAACCTCAGAAATGTTCCTTTTTAGTTTCACTGTCAACAGGATTTAGAAAATTGTCCATTCTGTGATTAGTATTTGTATCAAAGCGTATTTATTATAAAACTGTTTTTTTCACTATTTCAGATAAGATACAAATACGCTTTTATCAAACACCAGATTGTCGAATTTTTTGATCATCCAGGTAAATTTTCAAATATTTTTCTTTTTTTTACAATGACAAAAGAAATTTAATATCATAAACAATTAATTAAAAATTTAGGTACTTAACATTAATTTATATTGATTCTAATACTTTTAATTTTTTGTTTACGTCATTTAAATTTACGTTATTGGATAAGGTTATGTTACTTCATTTTCACACCATCCTTTTTATAATGCAATTGAAGTCTATGTTTGTGATAAACAATTTAAAAGAAAATTTTTAATTGAATTTTTAAGATAGAATGTATTAAATTAAAAATTAAATTTAATAAAATAAATAGAATAAATTATTATTCGCTTGAAAGAATATTATTTTTTCTTCAATTGTTGGTGACAAACTTTGTACACTTCAATTTCGTAATTAATTTTGTATTGTTTTACTATTAACGATTAATATTTTTAAGTATGTAATTCAATTTACCGTGTTATATGTTAGGTCGAAATTGAGAATATCGTTTTATTTGAGGGGCTGATAGTAAAAATGGTTTAAAATAACATTGGGAGCAAAAGTGGGATAAGTGACTTGGGAGCAAAAACCGGTTAAAATGATTCGTGTAATTTATTGATAAATTCATTATATTATCGATTAAAAAATATTAACAATAGGAAAAAATGCATATTTTATTATAATTAATATTTTTTAATCGATAATATAATGAATTTATCAATAAATTACATGAATCATTTTAACCCGTTTTTGCTCCCAAGTCACTTATCCCACTTTTGCTCCCAATGTTATTTTAAATCATTTTTACTATCAGCCTCTCATTTTTGCAAAATATTAATTACTTTTAACAGTTTTAATAGATTTCAAAGACCATGGATTCATATTATCGGTTGAAAAAATACCGGTACATAAAAAAAATGGATGCTATTGAAAACGACGAACCCCCTATAAAGACCTTTAAAATTGATGAATCTTACAAGCCTTTGATTATGCCTCAACAATTAGATGACAGATCTTCTTACACTTCTGTTGTATTAAATGAAGACTTTGAATTTAATTCATTGAGGCAAACATCACCAAATAATAGTGATGATTCTTCTAGTGATGATTCTTCTAGTGATGATTCTTCTAGTGATGATTCTTCAAGTGATGAGTCTCCAAATGATGAAGAATATAGATCACCGGATTATTCTTCGGACAGTTCTTCAGTTTCTGAAGAAAATGAAAATATTTTACTGCGCCAAAAATTGCAACTATGGGTTGTCACATACAGAAATAATCTAAGCGATGAAGCGATTAAGTCGTTATTGAAAATATTGAAGGAGTATCACCCAGAATTACCAGTATCGACAACCACATTAATAGGAACAAAATCAGATAAGAAAATTGAAGTTATGAAAAGTTTGAAAAACACGGATGCGCACTACGTTTATTTTGGAATTGGAGAAGGGCTCAAAAATATTATTTCCGATGAATATTCTGAAAAATATATAGAACTGCTATATAATGTTGATGGTATTCCATTATATAATAATTCAAGTGCACAGTTCTGGCCTATTTTAGGAAAAATTCAGCATAACGATTATGAATCTGATCCTTTTTTGATATCATTATATTCTGGTGATTCAAAACCACAGAATCCTAGTGATCTGTTAAAAGATTTTATTATAGAATATAATGATATCATGAAAAAAGGATTGGATATTGGTGGTCGTCATTTCAATATTAAATGCGGTGGCTTCTCCTGTGACACGCCTGCAAGATCATTCCTAAAACAATCGAAAGGTCACACTGGCTTTTATTGCTGTGAACGATGTGAGACAAAGGGATTGACGAGAAAAGGTAAAAGAGTGTTTCCGAACATGAATGCGAAACGGAGAGATAAAGATTCATTTATTAAAAGAACGCAAAAAGAACACCATTTAGAAGAAATATCTCCTTTAACGCAATTAATAGACTTCAATCCGGTGCTGCAAATGTTTCTAGATCCAATGCATGCTGTGTTTCTGGGGATGGTAAAATGGATTCTGCAACAATTTTTAGGTTCAAAAAGAAATGTGAATCGCAAAGTCAAGTTAGACTATAAAAAAAAAGATTTGAAATTAATCTTAGAAATCTTAGTTAAACATATACCAGCTGAGTTTCAACGGAAGGAATTAAATATTGACAATGTAAATCACTGGAAAGCTACCCAGTACAGACTTTTTTTACTGTACGTCGGATGTATTGCTTTAAAAAAAATCTTGAAACCTAATCGTTACCAGCACTTTCTACTTGCTGTTGTTGCTTTTAGAATTTTATTCAATCCAGAATTAGCATTAAAAATGGTAAATTATGCACGAGCATTACTAGTCAAATTCTTCGAACTTCTGCCATCTCTTTATGGAGATGGTTCACAGGTGATAAATAATCACAATTTAATTCATTTGGCTGATGATGTTGAAAATGAAGAATCAGATTTATCTTTTATTTCTGCGTTCCCTTTTGAAAATTATTTGGGAAAATTAAAGCATATGATAAAAGGGAGAAGTAAACCTCTTGAGCAGATAGTTCGAAGAATTTCCGAACAAGAAGTTTGTCCAGAAATAGCCAAAAAAAAATTAATTCGTCGAAAAAAAAATATTGTAATTAACTCTGTTAATTCCGGAGAAAAAATTGAATACTTGGAAAGCGTAGTCCTACGAGGAATGTTCTTAAGTTCAGAAAAGCGCAATAGTGTTGTTCAAACCGATACTGATGAAGTATTTCAAATTAAAGAAATCCGCAAAATATCAGGAAATATTTTTATTTCTGGTAATCGGTACAAAGATACAAGTGACATTTTTAATTACCCTTGCAATTCAAGAGAAGTAGGAATTATGAAACTTGGAGAATTGTCAACGAAGAAAATTACCATTTCTTTGAAAAACATCAAAGCAAAATGTATTTTATTTGAAAATGGAACCCATTCCTTCGCAGTGTCCTTACTTCACAATAATTAAATTATGTCGGTAATAATATGTGAACGTTTCTATCAAATTCAATTTTATATATACCAGTTGAATCATTTGTCCTAAAACTAGAATAATTTTATCTTTGTGAACGTTACATAAGTTTAATTCTATTCATTCCATTTTTCAATCGTGTTTTTAGGATCACTTAATACCAATGGAGAAAAACTTCAAGAATAATACGACTCATGTCGTTATTTCATTTCAAATTAAAAATAAAAGAAAACAAACTTTAATTGATTGCGTGCCTATTAATTGGATTTTCATGACAAAAAATAGAAAATTTACATATTATCCTCCAGAAAATGAACATTCCAATGTACAAGAAATGTCCAAAAATTCTGAACAGCCTTTAAATCACTGGAAATATTTTGAAATTGATACATTAAAAGAAGCAGGTGAGTAGTTAAAAAATTTAATTTTTCAATAATGTATTGAGTAGAATAAAAAAAGTTATTATTTAAATATAAATATAAAACAAATTAATAATCAACTAAATTTAAAAAATGTTGGACTTATTAAACTAATCATGTTTCAGATTCTTATGATCAAGGAATACGTCGAATGGAAAGGGCATTTTATTACAAAAATATTGAAACAATCAACATTGAAGACAAAAATAGTTCAGAAGAAGAAAACCAACGTATAATACTATTATCAGAGAATAACATTAAAAACTCCCTTATGAACATTCCTCAGATAAGTTATACTCCAACAAATACAAAAGGTAACGAATATTTTCTAATAATTATGAATTTATTTTGTTCAAAAATCGTTCAGTTTTAATAAAAATTTTAATTTCGACGAATAAAAATTAATTATATACAATGTTATTTAAATTTTTTGTCACAGGCAAAGATGATACAAAGAAAGTCTCAAATCAGAAAATAGTTGATAACGCAATCCCTTCAACTTCTGGTATAAATAAACAAAAATCAACAGCAAGAACTGTACAAATTTCTAATCGCTTGAATTCACCAGTTTCAATCATTTCGGAAAGATCGAATTCAGAAAGTACAAATTACAGTCAATTAAGTATTAATCACTCATCTCCAAATATAAGGGGAAAAAATTCACAAAATCGTAAGTAAAATAAAAGTTTTACATTGTTTTAAAAATTGTTTAAAATTAAATTTCGTAAGATTAACAGAATTTTTTTCATCCGAATTTTTATTTAAACGAATTCGTATGTAATTTTTTAGTAAAACTACTACCTTAAAAATGTTGCATCTTAAACAAGATTTTCTTTCTGTCTCAAAATAATACTTTCTTTTTACTGTATTAAAAATGTGTTTTTTTAAACAATCTTTTTCTAAAAGTGAACAAGTCATAAAGTTTTTTATCAGGATCAGGGACAGAATCAAATTTCTGTCTATAAAATGAAAAGTCAGGAAACAGACATAATTAAATCTTTACAGCAACCATTCATTATAGAAATATTAGAAATTTGTAAAATTATTCTTTTAAATCTATATTTTATTAATCTATATGTTCCATAGGTTATCAGTTAAGTGATAGTTCTTCAGGATCCTCTATAACAAAAAGAAAAAAAGCAACAGGAATATTAAAGAAGAATAAAAATATTCGTAAGTAAAATGAAAATTGTACACTATTTCAAATTTTTTAAAATTATTAAATTTTAAAAGATTGGCAGAATTTTTTTCAATAAAATTTTTATTTGAACGAATTCGTATGTATATAAACGTTTGTTTAACCTTTTACGGACATAAAATTAAAATTAAATTGTCTTTCAAAATTTTGCATCTTAAAAAGGATTTTCTTTGTGTCTCAAAATAATACATTCTTTTTTTGTGATGAAAAGGCCTTAAATTTTTTTTCTAAATTGTGAAATTATTTTTTAAATATATATTTTATGGTATATAGGTGATCAGTTAAATGACAATTCATCAGTATCCTCAGTATTGAACAAGAACAAACAAATTTCTAAGGAAAAATCACCAAAAAATATGCAAAAAGATTCGCCAAATTCTTCGAAGTCTAGGAAACGAAAATTTCGTAAGTAAAATGAAAATTGTACACTATTTCAAATTTTTTAAAATTATTAAATTTTAAAAGATTGGCAGAATTTTTTTTAATAAAATTTTTATTTGAACGAATTCGTATGTAAATAAACTTTTGTTTAACTTTTTACGGACATAAAATTAAAATTAAATCGTCTTTCAAAATTTTGCATCTTAAAAAGGATTTTTTTTGTGTCTCAAAATAATACATTTTTTTTCTGTGATGAAAAGGCCTTAAATTTTTTTTCTAAATTGTATAATTATTTTTTAAATATATATTTTATGGTATACAGATGATCAGTTAAGTGAAAGTTCGTCAGAATCCCCCCCCCAAAAGAAAAAAGACAAAAAAAATCACATAAGCAAAAATATTCTTCAAGCTATGCAAATACAAGGAAGGAAAAATTTTTACGAGGTGCATTAATATATTTATTATGTCTTATGATCCACACTTGTTTACAAATTAACTTACAAAACTTCATTCTTTGTTTTAGCAACGCTGTCAAATCAATGTTGCCCAACTTGTGGACGAAGCGGTAAATTCTTACATATCTTAACTTTAGATATTTAGATATTTTTAGTATACTTTTAAATGACAATATTTTCTATATGTTTCAAAATAATAATTAAGTTGTTTTTTTTGCTGCAGGTAATAATGATGACGTAATTGCTAACATAAGATCTGCGAGACGAAGTATTGAATTTAAGTTAGAGGTAGAATCAAAAAGAACCAGAGATTATATATTAAGATGCAATGGAATCACAAATATCGAAGAATTAATCGAATCGAATTAATCTAATCTTCAACACAATTTTGTTGATAAAATTTTAATGTAATCTAAATTTTATTCATAATTTTAAATTATTTGATTTTCAATTTATTTTAGTTTTAATTAACATTAAATTTAATCGATTTAAACGTAAATCTGTTCCAAATTAAATAAAAATTTTATATACTTTATTATTGTTCAAATTAGTTATAATTTTCATTGGTCAATATGATTAAATTCCTTTTTATATTATTAATTTTCCTTTATTTTTAAATAAAGGTACTGTGATCCCTGATTATATTAAATTCTTTTCATAATATATTTTTTTTAACTTTAGAAAAAAATGATGTCTATCTATATGGTTGGGGATAAAATTTCTGAAAATTTGACGAAAATTATCCCACAAATAATTACAAAGGACGTGCAGAAATTGTATTCTGCAATTGGGAGAGAAACAAAAGGTGTAAGAAAGGAAAATTTCTCCGAAACTGAAACATACAAATGTTTACTAGGTACAATATATTTAAATTTAATACCTTTAATTAGTCAAAATGTCTTACGGATAATTAAATCAGGGTATTTCATTGGTTTTCTAGAAAAGCCATGAAATTCTTTTAGTTTGGACATCTTGTTATAAAATATTTCCTTAATAATATAATTTTTTAACAGTTATTATTTTTTTCAGATGTATTTTCTGTAAAAAGGCCAAACAAAACGAGTCCCGAGATACTGAGTGCTGCAAGTCGTTGGTTTTCAGGGGCTAATGATAGAGATGGTGGACGTAGTGCAAGAAATAAAAAAAATACAAGTCGTGAAAATCCAAGTGCAATGTTAATCTAAGCAGTTTTTAATTGATTTAACTTTTTATTTTTCATTTAAATTTTATAGTTTTTCTTCCCATGTTGTTTCTTTCTGAATAAAATATATAGTTCATTCATAAAATTTGTGTTGGATTATTAAAAATTTCAGACACTTTTTTCTAAGTATACCAAAAAAGTATTACCTGGAGCTGAGATAAGTTTCACTAGAATATAGCGACAACTCTCACTATTGTAGTGAAACTTATCTCTGTTACAGTTAAAGCTTTCTTTTCGAATACAATAAATTACAAAACTGCCAGTACTCGGCCAGTACTGGACCAGTAATGGTTGCCAGTACTGGTGCCAACTCTGGTCGCCAGTACTGGTAAAATGTTATCATCCCAAAGTTACGCCAACTCTGGCGCCAATACTGGGTGCCAGTACCGCGCCAACACTTGTCAGTACTGCGCCAGTACTGCGCCATTAGTAAATTTTTGATTGGGATAATACATTTGAGTTAAATAAACGTATATTTGTCTCACATACTACTAGACTATTTATTTGGCGTAAATAAATTTTTTTATTTAAATCAAATATAAAATTTATTTAATTTAAATATGAATTTATTTGAATCAAATAAATATTTATTAAGTTGTGAAACAAATATATCACTTCTCTGAGTGTATGTTCATATATTCTTGATTAAAAGCATTAAATACAATGAAAAAATGTATTTGATTTCAATAATCCATTACTTGACTATAATCATTGTGATTTAGAGAAAATCAGTATTATTGATTATTTTTGAAATTAATTGATATAATGGTAAAGCAGATTCAATTTATCAAAAATTAATCTTCTCCTTTGATTTGATTTATGTTATTCTTTACTGTATAAACTTATACTGAACTTTAACCATTATAGCGCCTACCTAGATTTAGTTAATATTTTATATTTTGTATTGTTACTTACGTAACTATTAGAATTTAGGAGTACTTTTGTACGAAAGGGCAATGTCCCGTTAATAAATGAAATTGAAATTGAAATTGAAATCAAATAAATATTTACTTGAACCAAATAAATATTGACTTGAACTGAAAAATTACTGTATTTTAACAAATAAATTCTGTATTTGAACCAATAATTTCTCTATTCGAAACAAACAGTAATTAATTGATTTAAAAATTATTTTGTTCAAGTAAATATTTATTTGAATCAAGTAACCGATTATACGTAAATATAAAATAATTTTTTTTTCAGTATAATATTGCATGCTTGAGTCAAAATAATTGTAAAAAGAAAAGAAGAAGAGAAAAAAATTATTTTAATTTATTTAATGTTTAATTAATATTAATAATATTACATTGAAAAAAAATTTATTTGATTCAAATATTTAGTTACTTGATTATTATCAAATAAATATTTACTTGAACGAAATAATTTTTATTTTAGTAAATTAAATGATATTTGTTTGAAATACAGAAATTATTGGTTAAATACAGTTTATTTAATTCAAATAAATATTTATTTAGTTCAAGGAAATCTTTATTTGCTCAAGTAAATATTTTTCGATAATAGACAAGTACACGGAAAAAAAGAAAAAGTAACTTTTACTACTTTAAAAGTAAAATTGGACCTGTCCGAAGTTTCTGCGCATCTCTGGCAACTTTTACTCCAAAAATAGTAAAATTAACTTCAGAAATAGTAAAAATTACTACGGAAACAGTAAAATTTACTACAGAAATAGTCAATTTTACTATTTTTCGAGTAAAAGTTGCCAGAGATGCGCAGAAACTTCGGACAGGTCCAATTTTACTTTTAAAGTAGTAAAAGTTACTTTATTCGTTTTTCCATTTTTCTCCGTGTAACCGATTATATAAATAAAATAATTTTTTTCAGTGCAATAATTAATAATTAATTATTAATTGTTATTCATTAATATTAATATATTTAATATTTAATTATATTAATTTAAAAACAGAAAAATTTTAAAATAAAATCAATGAAAAGCTAATTTCCCTTTTTTATTTCAGTATTTAGATGAATTCCAATTTTCCTTTTTTTTGTCTTTCTTTTGTATAGATTACTGCGATTTTCATTTAAATTGTAACGTATACAAAATGTAATTAAGAGAAGTGGATAAAAGAATAGGAAATAACATGAATAGTATTTCTGAACTAAAAAAACAAGAAACTAAAATAAAAATAAAAACAACAACAACCCAACAACTTGAAACAAATGTCAACTACTTTAAAGCCTCAGGCACTGAATGCTCATAATGTTTCATTCTACTGACATTATCTTCTTTTGTCATATTTTTTTCAAGACATGTGTCTTCCTTATCATATAACATTCAGAAGTGATGGTACTTTTTCTTGCGTGTACACATTCTTCTTTAGTTCCATTTTCTTAAACTTTATTACACATTAGAAGTCCGCATTTTTATTGTTCCAAAAATTTAAACGATTAGAACATTTTTGTTTGATTGTAAAAATTATATGAGATATATAAATATAAATTATATAAATTATATATAAAATTTTTAAAATTTATAAAATATTTAAAATACACAGAGAAAAATGGAAGACAAAAATAAAGTAACCTTTACTATTTCGGTATAGTAAATTCTCAGCTGTTCGGAATTATTCTCTTCAAAATCCTCTGAATATTGAATAGAAACTCTTAATCGAAGAGGAAAAGAAATAACGATTCTTTCGGCAATGGATCATCTTAGAGAGGAATAAATTTTTTTTGAAAGGGAAATATTCTTGTTTTGAGATGATAACGTTATATTATGAAAAGTAAATTTCCTCTTAGCTTGAGATTACTTTTTTTTCTGTCTGAATCGATAAAAAAATGTAGTTACTCTCTCTCTCTCTCTCTTTCTACATTTATATTGCTAACATCTTGAATTTAATAAAGAAACTTTTTGCCATTCACTTAGAAAAGAAAATTGCAATCTGGAGGCGCGAAAAGAAGAAACCGTAAGTCTTTTTATTCTTGGATAAGTCATAAAGAACGAGCATTAAGAGGGAAGGATTTGTTTTTGACTGTTTTCATTTGCTCCTATCAGTCGTTATCCAGTAGTTAATCCAACGCGAGATGAACTTGTGACGCAGAGGGATCGTTAATTTTAATCGTTTGACTGCTATTAGTTCTGCTTTACTTCCATCCCCCTTTCCATTCTCTCTCTCTCTCTATCTCTCTACACTTTACCTTGTTTTCCTTCTCCTGGCATACCATCTCTTTCTCTCTCTCTCTCGCTCTCTCTTCTTTCAAGCTCAGACGACATTACCGACGATGACAAACATTAAACGTTACCTCTTCCGTTCATTCATCCTCTTCCTTTTTTTTTTAGAAATTTCTCAGATTTTCCACACTTTATATACTAATTTAAAAAAAAACATTCCTTTTTTCATTCTATATTATAATAACGTTTAATTATTCATAAAAAAATTATTTTTTAATGACAAGTACACCCAGAGAAATGTTTTATTTGAACCAAATATAATATATTTGAGTTAAATAAATGTATATTTGTCTCACAGGCTACTAGTCTATGTATTTGGCGTAAATAATTTTTTTTATTTAAATCAAGTAAAAATTTAAGAGAAACACACACACACCCAAAAAAAAGGAATCTTAAATTTAGAGGAAAATTCCTCTTCTAAAATCCTCTGAATATTTCCTCTTAAAATACGAATATTCCATTTGACTGTAGAATATTTTTATTCTTTGTTGTAATGGAACAATGACAAAAGGAGTACTTTTGCATTTAAATGTTTAAATTTAGTATATTTGAAAAAAGGAAAAGTAAATACATGATATCGATTACATTTTTTTCCTGTTTGACATTTGCGCTTTTGTTTTTCGAAACTGTCAATTTTCGTATTTTGTCATAATAGTGTTGTGTTATAAATCGAAAGACCAAAATGGAAAAGAGACTCGAAGATTTACTAAATGATTTAAATCTGGGTGGATATATTGAATGGATATAACCTCTCGATGAATCTTCATTTCTTACTAATTTTCTTAAATATTTGCGTCGAACTTGTTTGATATTTGCAACTGGCTATAGCATTTTTTATTATTATTGTAATTAAATCTAATGTATTAAATTTTTTTCAGAAATGTTTAATTAAAAACCAATATTTCATTCTTTATTCCAGGAATCTATTATAATTTACCTTTTTTGAATGTAAATATTTATTATATTATTCAAATTTAAAAAAATTATTGGTTCT